TTTCATGTTTCCCACTGCAGGTTTACCCTCACGCTTGAGTCCACAGGTAAAGAGAAAAATAAGAGGCGAGAGATGTGACTTGCAGAGGTGAGCAAGTGAAAACATAAGAGGACCAACGGGGTGTTTTTCCCGTTCTGTTAGCGTTTACCACAAGCCTAAGTTCTGACAACAAGCAGCACTGGGCCTGTTTTAATCAGAGGTCTTCCCTTGAAACTAGAGATTTGTAGCCTAAAAGACTGTTAACCAATACTGTTCCAAACGTTTTTCTTAGGGTTCATTTTATATACACACATGCTCACACACACATGTGTTCATATATACATTTCATGTGTTGTATACAACATATATTATCTCATACAATATATACTTGTTAAAATCATATAGTTATATATTATATTGTTATTAAGATCACATGTAGTTATTAAAATCATTTCTTCAGTAGACTCAAGAAATAAAACAACTGCCATGTTGATTTTAGCTCACAAGCGGTAATTTGAGAGAACAGATAATTTAAGATGCTATTTCAACAACTGGGGAGATGTGAGTACGGGCTGTGATCATGGCATTGTGGTTGTGTAAGAGAATATCCTTGTCCTTACAAGATAAGATGCTGAGGTATTTAGGGGGTTAGTGTCTGGATGTCTGTAACTGATTCTCAAATGGTTGGGGTTGGGGGGGTCATCCATAGAAAGAGAAAGCAAATGTGGAAATGTTACCGATTAGTGAATCTGGGCAAAAGGTGGGTTGGTATTCATTGACTCTTCCTGCAAATTTTCTGTAGACTTGAAATTTTTTTTAAAAGATGTTGGCGGAAAAAGATATTTTCATGACTGTTCAACAAAAGCCTCCTTCCCCCCAGGTAAGACAGAGCATAAGTATAAAAACCCGAGAAATTCTCTAAAATCTTGATTAAAATACATTGCCAAAATCAGAACATTTTTGTGTAAATCTTACAGCTAAAAGCAAAATGCCTGTCTTTACTCTAAGAAGTGAGTTAATACATAGTCAGTACTGATGCATACCAATGTCAAATAATCTGCAATAAAAGTGAGAATAACATACACAAGACAGCTAAGGTGCATGGAATGATCAGGACTCAGGACTGGTGGCAGCTTTTAAGGAACTCTATATATAAGATCTCACATTTGTTCTCCAAGGTGAATAAGGCCTTAGAATTTTAGAATTGAAAAGCCTCAGAGAGAAATACAGTCCAATATTTTAATCCTGAATTTGTCTGCAATATAACAAAGGGCCATAGAAAACTAAATATAGAAAAGGTCCATAAAAAGTGTGGACATATACAAGTATTTAAAAGCTGATAAGTGCTTTTAAAGTTGATCTGGAACCCCCTTTTGTGAGTTACAATCAGTATCGGATCAATGTTCCCAGGAAATGTCCTAATTCTTTCATAGAACTCTTTCTAAGAGAAATAAATTTAGTCTCCAATTTTAAATCCTGGCAGTTCCAAAAGTTTGAAGTAATTCCAATTGAATAAAAGTAAGTCAAGTGTTTTCACGAGTTTTTAGAATGATTAACAAAATAGATTTGGCAAGGAAAAGAAATAAAAAGCACATATGCGAACAACAAATAATGAAAAAGTTGAAAAATGACCATGCTATTTGGCAATCTTGCTTTGCCAAATGAAACCACAAATTATTGTGTATCTTCCCCCGACTTCTTAAACCTGCTTCTCAATGATATTTTATTCATTCATTCAGTTATTCAAAAATTTAACCACCTAGGGACTTCCCTGGTGGCACAGTAGTTAAGAATCCACCTGCCAATGCAGGGGACACGGGTTCGAGCCCTGGCCTGGGAAGATCCCACATGCCGCAGAGCAACCAAGCCCGTGCACCACAAGTACTGAGCCAGCACTCTAGACCCCACGAGCCACAACTACTAAGCCCGCATGCCACAACTACTGAAGCCCGTACACCTAGAGCCCATGTTCCGCAACAAGAGAAGCCACCACAATGAGAAGACTGTGCACCGCAACGAAGAGTAGCCCCCGCTCACCACAGCTAGAGAAAAGCCCGCGCGCAGCAACTAAGACTCAACACAGCCAAATTATTTATTTATTTATTTATTTATTTATTTTTAAAAAGTGGATGTTTATTAAAAAAAAATTTAACCACCTTATATGTACAAAACATCAGAGGGACTTCAAAGGCTATAAGGCAATTCTTTAAACTACGTAGTATTTGATTATCTATTTCAGCATTTTTTTCTTGATGTGCAGAAAATTATTTTTTTCAAGCCTAAATATGCAACTAAATTGAAAAACAACAACCCTCCATATTTGAGCTTTCTGAAATGTGAACAGTGAGCAAATATCCTAGTTCCACATTGTAGGGAAAATGTAATCTAAGGGGTAAAGAATCCAAGCTTATACTTGGGACTCTGAACCATTAAGCAACTGTTGAGGTGGCCCTTTATTGGATCTTGCCCTTAATTATGAAGCTCATGCAGTCTTAGGCTTGGGTTTCAAAAATCATTAATAATTACCCTTAAATGGCAAACAAAAGGAAAATTTCATAATCAGGGTGGTGTAGGTGTAAAGACTATAAATGTCGCAGGATCCTGCTCAGCTTCTCACACTCCTATTTGATTCTTCCAGCTGCCTCACTGCTGGACGACCAGGTAAGTGTGATTTTAGTACTACCTGTAGCTGCTTCTGCTTCCTTTCAGAATGGTGTGAAAGATCACGGTCTAGAGAAAAAGTGGGTTTGTGCCATCTAAAGATATTACCAGTAACTTAAGAGGCTAGAAGCTGTGGTCAGGTTTCTTCAAGACCACAGCCTACAAAGTGCAGAGCAGGTACCTAAAAAGTGAAAAATGTCATAATTACTAGTAAAAGTATTTGGCTCCAAAGACTATCTTCTAACAGATGTACTCCAAAAACAGACATTTAACAACCTATCTAAGATGATTATTTTTATTTTATTTTATTTTTTTGCGGTACGCGGGCCTCTCACTGTTGTGGCCTCTCCCATTGCGGAGCACAGGCTCCGGACGCGCAGGCTCAGCGGCCATGGCTCACGGGCCCAGCCGCTCCGCGGCATGTGGGATCTTCCCGGACCGGGGCACGAACCCGTGTCCCCTGCATCGGCAGGCGGACTCTCAACCACTGCGCCGCCAGGGAAGCCTGATGATTATTTTTAAAACATGTTTTCAGTCACTGGTACATTGTGATTCCCACAGTTCCCGCCCCCTCTCTCCTCCTCCTCCTCTTTATCTTCCCCTCTCCCCTTTTCTTTATTCTCTCTCACCTATGCCAAGGAAACAGCCCCACAGCACTCAACTCCTGCTGGAAATCATCAGTATAAAATACGTCACCTTTTTGGTAAGTTCATTTCTTTCCCAATTTACAGGACACCAAAATGAGTACAAACAAGTTTCCTGAAGAACTGAAGAGCATTTTTGAAAAATACGCAGCCAAAGAAGGTGATCCAGACCAGCTGTCGAAGGAGGAGCTGAAGCTGTTGATTCAGACTGAATTCCCCAGTTTGCTGAAAGTGAGTATGCCACCACAGAGCCCGCTGATGGGGCGGCGATGGTGGGAAGGGAGGAGAGAAGAGAGGAAAGGACGCGGGGAGAGGCTGAGGTCCACGACGAGACGGATCGGAGCTCCATCTGAGGCGGAGCGCCCAGCAGCCTAGGCATGGGCATCACCGGAGGGAGGGCGCTTGAATGTGTGCTTTCCTCCCCTGAGGGCAGGCCACATTTCAGAAGGCAAGCTCCTAGAAAGCACGGACTACGCCTCCTATTGCCCACAGCCTTGACTCAGAACTCCCCAGGACCAGCCATAGTAAACGGAAGCCATGATAGCACTCTTACCGAGCTAGGCCTGGAAGACCCGCAGGTTGCCAAGCAAACACGCTAAGGCCTTCAGCCTGGATTCAGCGCCCCTGTGCCAGGCTTTAGGAAAACAACGAGGCCTGTATGGTTATAGGAGCTGGACTTGGATGTGCTCCTCTGTAATAGGTAGGATCTCTCAACTAGACCAACACTTACTTGGCAGTCTGTTAAGAAAACCGGCCTCATGCTGATAAATTGCCCTCTGGCGACACCCATTTCTATTTCAAAAGCATTTACATTTGTGTTAAGCACCTAAATTTGTGCTAATGAGCAACCACAAGTTTCTAAACAACTTTCAGGAAAGGATTACATTTCCTCAGCCATAAAGTTTCTGATCAGAACCATCCCAGAGTTATCAACATCAAAATGCATCTAGAGGCAATAAAGAATAGGGGAAGGTTGATTCTCTTTGCTCCAATACACTTTCTTTCCCTTGGAACTAAAAACCATCTTCAAAATGGAAGCAACTGTGCAACTACCTATTACATTTGACTTGGTCCCTACTTAGCTCTAACTTCAGAATTTGGTTCTCAGTTTTTAACCAGAAATGTCCCTTCTGTCAATATGACATATGAGAAGGTTTCTAGTTTTAGTTGTTGAGGTTTCTGTTTTTAGTACTAAAAAGTGAAGTAGCTGAATTCGATGACCTTATAATCGATATTGTCTTATAGTTAAAATGTGAAATAACTTAAAAAGTTAAAGGTACTAGCAGAAAAAGAGACTTTCTAATTAAAAATAAAAACCAGTGTTTCTGAGAAAGATTCAACTTTTCAAAAAAAAAACAAAAGGAAGAAAAATAATAGTAGGAATAATAGAAAATAATAAAAAGAAGAAAAATAATAATCTGACAGGAAAGCCTAGGCAATCTATTCAAACAAGTTGTTTTTAAATAAGGTAAGATTGGTGAATTTTTCTGTATTTTTCTATATTTTATGTATTTCCTATAAAAAGCACATATGGGGCTTACCTGGTGGCGCAGTGGTTGAGAGTCCGCCTGCTGATGCAGGGGACACGAGTTCGTGCCCCGGTCCGGGAAGATCCCACATGCCGCGGAGCGGCTAAGCCCGTGAGCCATGGCCGCTGAGCCTGCGCGTCCGGAGCCTGTGCTCCGCAACGGGAGAGGCCACAACGGTGAGAGGCCCACGTACGGCAAAAAAAAAAAAAAAAAAAAAAAAGCACATATGACTTTTCTAATTTGGATAAAGGTAGGAAGACTAATGGTAAGTTGTGAAAAATCTACTTATCAAGTCATGTACTGATTATATTTCCATATGGATTTCTAAGGTTTTCTAAGCTATACTCTGTTTACATCACATCACCTTGTACGGTTTAGAATGTAGCAAATGCTTCAGGAAAACAGTCCTTGGTATTTATAAAACAGATGCTAAATAACTAACACAGTTTGGTCTTGTGAGCATAGCTAAGTGCCAAGTGTCTTCACAGGAATCTCAGGGATTAAAGCATACCTTGATATAGAGATTTGTTGCACAACAGTGTGAACATACTTAACATTACTGAACCGTATACTTAAAAATAGTTAAGATGGGGAATGTTATCTTATGCGTTTTTTACCACAATTTAAAAAAAACGTTTGAAGCTGACTTATAAACTAAACTGTTATTTCAATAGGTTTCCTGGGTACTATTTTGCCACAGAGACTCCTAACCTGAAAGTCAGAGATGTGGCTCAGAACAAGTCTCCCTGAAATATGCCACTTTAGCATGAAGATTACTAAAAAAAATCAAAACCCAAAGATTCAGGGAAAGCTCTTTACCTCCCACTCAGCTGCCTAAATTTATACTGCAAAGAAGAGAGCTCTTCTTTTACCAGGAAGAGAGGTCTTGCTAGAGATTCCTTTTGTCCTAAGAAATTTATCTGTATAACAGGCCAAACTTTTGTTTTCCAAACATCTCTGCCTACATCTCTGCCTACATCTGAATGGCCTTCCTTCCTTTTGTAGCCTTAGCCCAGGATGTTATATAAGCCTCAGTTACCTGGCTGCCCTTTGGGTATCATACTTTTATGGGGTACCCTGTACGTATGTAATTAAACTTGTTTTTCTCCTGTTGATCTGTCTATGTCACTTTAATTAATAGACCAGCCAAAGAACCCAGAAGGGATGAAGGGAAAATTTTCCACCCCTACAGCAGAGACAAAAATTAATTCTGCTTAATTCACTACAGGAATACCAGTAGTCAAAAGGGAGTTGAGCTGAACATGACCTGATGTAACAAGCAGTGGTTCTCTGAGTAGTCAGTCCTGGACCAGCAGCATCCACACCGCCCAGGAAACTGTTGGAAATACAGATTCTCAGGTCCCACCCCAAGCCTAGTGAATCGGAAGCTCTGGGAGTAGGACCACCCATCAGTTTGGGTTTACTAAGGTCAGCAAGCCCACCTGGTGATTCTGACGCATGCCAAAGTGTGAGAACCACTGAGCCAAAGTCATCCTGCATAGCATAGCAGTGGGCTGCAACCCGGGGTTTGGGAAAAAACTAGGGTGGTTGCTAATTAAGGGGTTGAGCTCTGGAGTCAGTGTTTGAACCCCAAGCCCTCTACTTACCAGCTGGGGGCGCTGAGCAAGTCAGCGGGTGTCTCAAAGCCTCAGTTTCCTCATCTGTAAAGTGGATCTCCCCCACACGGCAGCTGGGAGAATTGCACAGGATAAGGAAAAGCTCTGGCACGGGGCTGGCCCATGGCAAGCCTAGGATCACATGCTGGTCCAGCTCTGGGGCTGGATGCCAAACCAGCTACCAGGGAAATCTTGGAGCAGGGCCCCTCGGCAGTCAAGTAAAGCCCTGGGACTTCTTCTCAAAAGAATAATTTAGATTTAGTTTACATAGGAAACCAATTATTTTAAAATACACATTAGCAATTTTAAAATAATAAATGTATGATATAGTTTTTTTTAAAAAAAGGGTAGGCAGTTCTGTGACATGAAGCAATACTACAATTAAGTTGGTTTTTTCATCTCTATCAGTAACATACGACTGAAAACTCGGTTGCCTTCTAGGAACGCAGACCCAGTGTCTCTAATTCGGAGAATGTGCAGCAGTAACTGAATCATTTTCTCTCCTCTCTTCTATCCCATCCTTTTTGTCTAAAACCAGGGTCCAAGCACCCTAGATGACCTCTTTCAAGAACTGGACAGGAATGGAGATGGAGAAGTTAGTTTCGAAGAATTCCAGGTGTTAGTAAAAAAGATATCCCAGTGAAGGAGAAAACAAAACAGATCATTCTAAGAACCGAAAGAAGAGTGCCTGGGATGTGGCCCTACTCTGTACGAAACCACCATTGTCTCCACTTAATTCTTTGCAATTGTAATGATCAAGCAGTGAGGTCTAATTACTGAATAAAGAAATCCTTAGACATGTCTCACCTTGTCAAGTACTGACCCCTGTAGCTTACTAGATTTGAAAGTAACCTTAATTTGATGCATCTAATTTATGGATTTATAAAGAAAAAAAAAAAAGGCCCAGAATAGTTCCACGACCTTGACCAAGACCACAAAGATGGTGGCGGAGAGTTAGGAAGAATTTTGACGAGTCAAACCACCTCCCTCCCTCCACTCGTCCACCAGAATAACCCCCTCCCTGCTGTCCCTCCGCAGCCACGCAGGGCTCACATCATTCCCAACATCAACTCGTATTTCACTCTAGTCAATGGCTATGGAGAAACAGACTTCATAAAACAGACACTTGTCTTTAAAGTCATCTCCCAGCACCGGCTGAGCCTCTTGAATCAATGACCTTTTGGGGGAGCAAAAGGAATGTATGTCCAGAGAGTCAGTTCCATTCCATCACTGAGGGGATGGCCTTGGTTCTAGTATGTGATGTGGAAAATAAAAGGGACAGGAAGGCATAGGGCCCTCCAGCTCTGGCATCCTGCGATGCTGGGACGCTGGGTATCTGAGAAACAGCTAGTCCTCAGGTTCTACTAGTTGAATCCAGCTGGGGGGAGGGAAAGAGGGAGGAGCGTGGGAGAGGAGTAACTTTCTTCTGCCCCTTACCAGACAGTTAAAATGGCAAAGTCAAATCAGTCTAAGTTGGCCACGGCAGCCCACCACAGCAGTGCCCTGGAAGCCAGGTCTTTATCCTGACCACCACTCTCCCCTCCTCGGAAACACCCACAAATCATCAGCACTGCACCCATTCCCTTTGACCAGCATCTCAACCTTTCTGTTCATTATCACCCTCCTAATGAGCCTTGTTAGACATTCTTTTCCCAAGTGCCCCTCCAACAAAATTTTAATTCCACATATACATTGTGTGTATACCTGTTTATGTACCACATTCATATCTGCGCTTTAGACATGGTGCAAGATGGTTTTTTGACCCACCACCGCCCCCTCAAAAGCAATTTTAACCCCTGTGGTGTAAGCACATAGGGTAGCACGTCCCCAGAGGAAGAAAACCAGGCATGGCTGCTTTTTTTGACATAAGAGAACCCATTTTTGGCCTAAGCCATTTTGTGATCTAAGCCTGGCCATAATGCTTGTCCTTGAACAGGTCTCAGTAATTAATTACCTTAAGGAAACAATGAAGGAACAAATGACAGTTATCAGGCAAGAGAAGTAACAAGAGCAAAGATAATATATCACTTGTAAAGACCCCCAGTTCTGTTTCAGCAGTAAAGACTAGCCTGAAGCACTCAACCACCAGATCAACTGGAACCTAAGGGATGATAATGTTGACCTTTTCTGACCCTTGTGACTTCAATCAACTAAAGCTTGGACTGTGTGGACCACCCAAACCCCTTCGTGAATATGCATGTACCCTTAGCTTAAAACTTCCCCAGTTTTCAGGGAGACGCTGCTTTGGGAAAGATCCCCGCTGTTCTCCTTACTTGCTGCAAGTAACAGATCCTTCCTCCTCCCACTCTTTGGCTTGGTTGCATCTTTTGGCTCAACACCCACGAAGAGGTGAACCCAGTTTGGGGGGTAACATTGGGAGCAATAGCGCATGCCTTTGAACAATGTCCTTCGATGCTTTTATTTTTAACTCATGCTCTAGAGCCAAAATTGCCACACGTTACTTTCTGTAGTTGACATCAGGAAGGTATGGGATTATTTCCACTTTCAAAATGCAGGAAATGACAACATTGAATGGTTTTAAAACTACACAAGCCCTCCTGAAGATTCTGCTATGACCTTACTCTCAAGCTGAGAAAAACTGCCTGAAAAGTACTGCCTTTGAGTCAGTTTTCTTAACCTAACACATTTGAAGTGTGTGCTGGGTATGTCAGTCAAGTTGGCTGCTGTCATTTTCCCAGTGGCTTCAACTGTGCACTTGAAGGCACTCCAAGGTGGGCACACACCCACTCCCCACCTCGTTCACCCTGTAGGGGAGCAGAATTTGCCCCCCTATGTCTCTTTGGCATATTAATTCTTTTAAGCTGGTTATTTTCTAAGAAACAGCAGACATGGGAGAAACGCTGAAAACCAAGTAGAAGTTACCCTTTGTAAGAAACATTTACATGCATAAGGAAAATCTCCATTTGTAAGGGTGTCTCCTTGACTGTACCAAGAAGTGGAGGATGACCAAATCTCTAGAAACTTAATCAATGGAGAAGGCAGAGGCTTACATCTGCATGAAAAGCTCACCCTTGTTTACCATGCTTTTCCTGGTCACCTCCCATAACTGACTCCCCACTGTCCATACCCTCTTTTGTCTTTAGCCAAAGATGGTATTCAAGGTGAAAGCCTTCTCTCCCATGTATTCATGTTATTCAACTTTTGTGTGATTTTCTCCTGTTAATCTGTCTCATGTCCATTTAATTCTTAGACCAGCCAGAAGAACCTAGAAGGGTAGAGGAAAATGTCTTCCTCCCCAACAACCCACAGAGCGGGCAGGGGGCTGTCCATAGGCTGAGGAGTTGCATCTCAGATAGGCAAGTCCTGGTGATGTAAGAATCTAGAACAAGGCCAGCCAGGGTGACCCAAAGTGGGCCAGGCATAAATGAGTTAGGCATTAGATAGTGACTTGAGGGCAAGGTAGGGGAAGATCATATATTTAAATTTGCTTGAACATGAGCTAAAAAAAAAAAATCTCTGAAAGGACACAGAAGAAACTGAGGCAGGAGATAGGTGGGCTCCAGGCTAGGCATTTACAACTGGCCTCCTATTCACACTTCCTGGGGTAAGAAGAAGATGAGCTCCAGGCCAGACAATCATTACCAGCCCCCGGTTTACATTTCCTGGGGCAAAAGACAAACGGGCTCCCGGACTACATATTTATGACCGGACTCCTGTCTATATTTCGAGATCTGCACCTCGATATAAGAAACAGGAACAGGGTAGATAACCAGACACTGGACACTTTTATGGCAGAGACAGAGAGGGGCTAAACCCTGTTAAAAGATCGAGAGGTCATACATTTCCCATCCTTGGGGCAAGGGAGACACTACGCATGCACAAAAGCCTTCACAGGGTCAAAAAGGCAGGAGATGCCAGACCATAGTAAGTCCTGCTACCTCCCTCCCAGAGGCCTTTGCGATGAAAGCCATCTTGACTGAGGGGTGCGTGTACACCCAGGGGAAGGTCCAGAGACAAATTAGCCATGGGGTCAAAACAATACGATTGGCCAAGAAGAAGACAAAGACCCGGAAGACTACCCCCTCATAAAAGGTTTAAACTTCCCAAAGGCCCGACTCTCGTGACTCTCTCACTGAGTTCGCCTGTGCTTCTTTCCGCATGTACTCTGCTTTTCCAGTAAACTTTTCACTTTTCTCTTTACCTTCTGCCTCCTCACCTGAATTCTTTCTTGACAAGGCAGGCAAGAACTAGGGACCCAGGCCCTAGCTGCTGGCCCCTGTGGTCCAGTGGTTAGGACTCCCAGTCCGGGAACTAAGATCTTGCTTCCAGCTACTGCTCGCTGCTGCTTGCTGCAAGCTGCCGCTTACTGACGCCTGTGATCAAAATCAAAACTAGTATCAGTGGTCACATGTTAGTATGAAGCTGAGTCCCCCTAAAACTGAATTCCCCTGCCGAGTTTATGATTAACCTCTCTATTAAAACCTTTTCCCCCTTTCTCATCCCCTCTGACCTCAATCCTGTGCTAACTGAACAATGATCAACCAGAGTCAGAGGACTAAAAGTGCTCTTGTCAATAACATCCTTAACATACCCAGGCTGTTTCTCCAGGGCAGGATGAGCTAACAGACTGCCCCCTCCCCAGGTCATGGACAACCTGGCCAAAGACTCATAAACCTTAGGCATCCTGACTCTTGAAACTGCGATTAACAAATGTCACAAGACAATGATTAGCCCCACCTTGTTTGTCCTTCCCCTTTAAAAACCCCGTAACTCGAAGACCAAATTGGAGAGGATCTGAGGCTCACCTCCCACTCCCTTGCTTGGCACCCTGCAATAAACCCTTACTTTGCTGCAAATACCCGCTGTCAGAGTTTGGCTTTCTGAGCAGCGAGCACTCAACCCCTTGCTCGGTTTCAAGGAAAGGACTGGGCAGATGAGGGACAGAGGTGTGAAAGCCACTTCTCACTTCATATTTTATTGTACATTTTTGGGTTTTCAACCCTGTAAATGTGCGTCCCATCAAAAAGCATAAAAGAAAATATTAAATAAAAAGAAAACATTTGTAAAATACCATATTGTTGCTTTTCATAATGAGCCTCTTTTCACCCTCTTTCTTATTTGGAATAGTCAGAACATACAACCATCTAAATTTTGGGAAGTGCATATTGGAACCTATTTCAAACACTCAGAAATTTAACCAGAAAAAAAGAAAAATGAGTTCTAACCCTTCCATCAAGAAACAAAGGAGATTTTTATACACCATCAGGGAATGTTTAAACACAATCTGTATCATTCTAATTCATACAAGAGCATTCTCATAGCATCAAAAGCCTTAAACATTTCTAATGACTAGTTATATTCCACTGTAGGGATACCGCTTAATGGTCTCAACTATTTCCCCACCTTGGGGCATTTAAATTACTATCATTTCTGATTCTTCTAACTAATGTTATAGTGAATACCTGTTCACTTCTTTGTCAACATATCAGATTCCTTAGGAGAATTTCGGAGAAGTAAATGTCTGAGTCAGAGGGTATGAATATTTTTATGCTTTGTGAAAGAGACCACCTAGTTGCCTTCCAAAAGGCTGTATTGATTCATATAGCTACAAACAGGCAGGAGGTCACCAACTTCACTCCCCAGACAGCATTCATCAGTCTCATTTTAACTACTTCATTAATCGCAACAGTACATACCTTTTATTATTTCTGGTTTTTATGGGAATCCCCCACTACAGATGGTACCCAAATTACAATGCTTCAACTTTCCATTTTTCAGCTTTAAGATGGTACAAAAGCAATGTGCATTCAGTAGAAACTGTACTTCAATTTTTGAATTTTGATCTTCTCCTGAGCTTGAGATATGCAATATGATCCTCTCGTGATGCTGGGCAGTGGCAGCCACAGCTCCCCGTCAGCCGTGCAATCACGAGGGGAAACAACTGATACACGTACAACCATTCTGCACCCAGACAACCATTCTGTTTTTCACTTTCAGTACAGTATTCAATAAATTATGAAACAGAGCAGGACCCTGCGAGGCCCTCCTGGGTACAAGCCCCTCCTTGTCTCCTGTTGCTTGTCTGTAGAAAAAGCTTTTGTCGCCTAGGCCTTCCCCAGGTTCCAAAGAGCAGACCCAGTTAATGATTAGAGAAGTGGAAAATGTAGAAACAAAGGAAAGCAATCAAACAAGAAAAGTACTACTAGCTTAAACAATAGAGTCACGGGACTCCTAGTTCCTCCTGAAGGGATATAGACAACAATCTGACACATATCTTTGAGTTGTTCTGCAGAAACGAAGCGGAAGATGTTGACTTCACAGGGTCTGCACACAGACCCCAGACTGGTTGGAACCAGAAGACTGATGATTGAGATTCCTGAAACACCACCCTGTTACCTCACCACCAACCAATCAGAAAGCATGTCCATGAGCTGCTCAGGCACCCTACGACCCTCTCCCATAATGTTGCCTTTAAAAACCCTTGCCTAAAAGCCACTGGGGAGTTTGGGTCTTTTGAGCTGTCCCGTCCTTCACCACAACCCGATGTCAGCAGACTGGCTTTGCTGTGCATCGGGCAGATGGACCCAAGTTTGGTTCAGTAACGATTTCATGAGATTTGTAACACTTTATTATGAAATAGGCTTTGTGTGAGATGGTTCTTCCCAACTGTGGGCTAATGTAAGTGTTCTGAGCACATTTAAGGTAGGCTAGGCTAAAATATGATGTTCAGTAGGTTAGGTGTATTAAATGCATTGACTTCCAATATTCAGGACATAACCCCATCATAAGTCAGGGAAGATCTTTATTCTCCCACTGAGTTTATGGTTGGGTACTGTTTTGTAAAAGATATTCTTTCTCTTGTTTGAAGCACCCTGTCAAGTTTGTTATGAGATTGTGAGCACCGGGGTGTAGATACTGTACACTGCCTATTGAGTATCTATGGTGAAACGGGGGTTCACTCTTTTGTTTGAACAGTATGATGTGTTAATCAATTTAATTCCCGGGATAAACACACCATCCACTCATGACTCATTATCCCTTAACACTATTAAATTAGACATTCGAAAATTTTATTTAAGGTTTTTACATCTTTACTAATAACCAACATTAGTCTATAGCTTGGAGTTTTATTTTTTGTTGTATGTGCTTTCTTGAGTTCTAATGTTTAGGTCATGCTAGCTTCCCATTTTCGCCTATGGTTTCGAGCTCAATCAGCCTCTCACAAAGTAAATATACACTATCTCTTTCAATTCCAACATACGTAAAGCACCTACTACAGGCAAGGTATTATACAAGATGCCATAAGAGGTACAAATTGTCAGACCTCTGAGATCCTAGGTCAGTGATTCTGAGATCAGGCGAGGGAAAGGCTTAATCTAAGAAGTAGTATTTCAACTGGGATTTGTAGGAGCAACGTTGAAGACAACGTGCAGAAAGGGGGCAGCACTGGGCATTGAAAAAGAGAGGAAACACAACAAATAAACATCATGTTGTTGAGAAGGAAGACATTTTCCTCTACCCTTATAAGGTCTTCTGGATGGTCTAAGAGTTAAATTGACATGAGACAGATTAACAAGAGAAAATCAAAGTTTAATAACATGTATACATGGGAGAGACCCAGGAAAACTGAGTAACTCACCAAAATGGCCAAAACCCTAACCTTAAATACCAACTTCAGCCACAGACAAGAGGGTGTTGAAGGTGGGTAGAGTCAGTGATGGGAGGTGACTAGGAAAAGCACAGTCAACAAGGGCAAGACTGTGATGCAGATTTGTGCACTGCCTGAGTCTTTTCTCCCCTCTCATCCTTCCGTCTGCCACGGCAGCTGAATCCTCCTAAAGCACCCATTTCTACTGAAAAGTCTTCACTAACGAGTACAGTATCAATTACATAATATGTCAAGGTTGGCAGGTATTATCTTACTCATTCCCTGATTCTTCAGGATTAATTTTGACACTGACACTCAAGGACCTCCACAAATTCATACCAATCTCCTTTATTTCCTTCCACTTCTGTACATGAGAGATGTGCTTTGGCCACGCTATTTTATGACAAAATCTTGGACATTCCAGCCTAGCATAAGCTTCCCCTGCCTTCAATGAACGCTCCAAGAGTGTCACAATCTTCCCTTCTTACTGTAACCCGCAGTATTTCCCCCCTCTCACCACCCCGGACCCTGAATTCTTTTTTTTTTTTAATTTTTATTTTTTTTTCCACCCCGGACCCTGAATTCTTAAGTATCCAAGGTCTACCTGTGCTGTGCAATACCTGGGCCACTACACTAGGTGGCTATTGACATTAAAATCAATTAAAATTAAATAAAATTTAGGGACTTCCCTGGTGGCAGAGTGGTTAAAAATTCACCTGCCAATGCAGGGGACACGGGTTCGAGCCCTGGGCCGGGAAGATCACACATGCCGCAGAGTCACTAAGCCTGTGCACCACAACTACTGAGCCTGCGCTCTAGAGACCACGAGCCACAACTAATGAGCCCGTGTGCCACAAGTGCTGAAGCCCACGTGCCTAGAGCCGGAGCTCTGCAACAAGAGAAGCCACCACAATGAAAAGCCAGAACACCGCAACAAACAGTAGCCCCTGCTCGCCTCAACTAGAGAAAGCCCGTGCACAGCAGCGAGGACCCAACACAGCCAAAAATAAACTAATGAAATAAATTTTTTTTTAAATTAAATTAAATTTAAAATTCAGTTCCTTCACAGAAGAGAAGACACAGAGACATAGGAAGAGGAGGAAGCAATGTGACCAGGGTGATAGAGATAAGAGTGAAGTAGGCCCTGAACCAAGATGGCGGAGCAGAAGGACACGCTCTCACTCCCTCTTGCGAGAACACCAGAATCACAACTAGCTGCTGAACAATCATCGACAGGAAGACACTGGAACTCACCAAAAAAGACCCCACATCCAAAGACAAAGGAGAAGCCACAAAGAGACATAAGGAGGGGCACAATCACAATAAGATCAAATCCCATAACCGCTGGGTGGGTGACTCACAGACTGGAGAACACTTACACCACAGAAGCCCACCCACTGCAGTGAAGGTTCTGACCCCACGTCACGCTTCCTAACCTGGGGGTCCGGCAACGGGAGGAGGAATTCCTACAGAATCAGACTTTGAAGGCTAGCGGGATTTGATTGCAGGACTTTGACAGGACTGGGGGAAACAGAGATTCTACTCTGGGAGGGCACACACAAAGTAGTGTGCACATCGGGACCCAGGGGAAGGAGCAGTGACCCCATAGGAGACTGAACCAGACCTACCTGCTAGTGTTGGAGGGTCTCCTGCAGAGGCGGGGGGGGGGGGCGCTGTGGCTCACCGTGAGGACAAGGACACTGGCAGCAGAAGCTCTGGGAAGTA